ATAAAATAAGAAAATGAACTCTTTGCCAATATCACTTTTGCAACACGGACGTCCATAGCATATAATTGGGTGTAGACACCTAAGCAGACATTATAATAATGCCTCAAACCATTTAGACAAAGATTTGCATCGGAAATCCGTTAGAGTGGAGGAAATACAACTGATAATGCAAATAATTCTGGGCCTCTGTCTGCATCCATGCTATATCTTTGGAATAAATTTGCATATGTTTAACATGAAATATAAATAAAGATTTTACAGTTCTACCTTGCCAAAGATGATTTTTGGAATTTGTGATTTTTTTTTTTTTTAAAGCTGTTGTGAGTAGATGCATTTCACTTCTCATTATTGATTTTATATCACTCCACATATACAGCCCGCTGCAAAATGCTGCCATTTCCAAAAATGCTGTCCAGTTTGCCAAGTAGATATTTTGCAACGGAAGATTCCTCTACTGTACAACCTAACAAGAGATGTTCTATACATTTCAATGTAGGATTTTTTTTTATGGCCCTATATGCAAATTCATATTAATGGACAATGGCATGAACTTGACACATTGTCATTTTTCAAAATGGTTTACTTTTCCAGTGTTCCAAATAAAGCATGAATAGATTGCAATAGTTTGGTGCTGCATTATACAAAGTGGGTATTCATTGAGGGACATCATTTTCAAGCTCTTGCATGCCAGTGGGGTCGTCAGTACAGTTAACTAAAAACTATAGCATTAGGAACACATGTGTGAATTTTTGACACTCTAGTGTTCCTTTAATCTGATACATATTTTTAAAATAGAATTATAAAGACATATTTTTCCTTAGTGATACATTGCTTGTTCTAAGAGAACTGCTTTTATTTATTTAAAATAGAAACTCCACTCACAAAATAACTTTATCTCAGTGGCATTTTTTGGAGTGCTGAAGTCCAGAAGGAATCAATGTTTCGATGACTTCCTCCAAATGGGGAGAATCCCCCCCCCCCCCTTCAAACAGGAATGAATCTATGCAGACCAAGAAATTAAATAAGTGTTTAATTAAATGAAAAATAACAGCATAAAAATGTGATAAAAAATAAAGAGAAAAGAAAAAATAAATCCTAAAACTGACCAACGCGTTTTATGCTGTCTGGGTACTATAATGTTTCTAGGGTTTTTTCTTTTCTCTTTGGAATCAAGTCTTAGTGCTTGGCTATTTTTCATTACATCAAATTTTTGGAAGGGATTTTTGGATATTTTGTTCTGTGTGTATTTAACAGTGCTTGGAAGGGTTTTGTTCTCCAAATTTTAAGGGAGATCAGCTAAATAATTTTTTATGGAGTTCAGGCACTGAGTCTGTGTCCTTCAGGCACTAACCTTCTATATATGAAAGATAGGATTTGCATTGCTACAATTATTTTTTCTCCTTCTGAATTCTACTCCAGTGCTTGCGATTACATTTTTCTTTTGGGGCTGGAATAGGTAGGGACCTCTTTTCTTAAACTTTTATTGTCTTAAACTGTTATTAAATGGTATAACACCTAAGATGGTTCCCGAACGCCCGTCTGCACTGTCTTTTGCCTATTTCGCTGCCATAGGAAAACAGAACACTGGGTGCCATTGAAAAGCTAAGTTGACAGCTGACAGTTATTGTAGCGGACCACCTGGTAACCCTGCCGGTTACCTCTGCTAATTCCCTTCCATTGACAATCCTTTATTGGTACACACAGCTTTTAAAACACAGACCTTCGCAGGGGGTCTTCCTCTTTCAGTACACTTTCCTATGTCCCAGGCAGGAGACGGGGATGGGTTACATATAACCATTTCCCACTCTGGAAGATACAGGACACAGTTCCATACATTAAAACATATTACAAACAGTAAAAAGCACATTACATATATGGGGGAACACTTAGGGGCTCCGCATCCCAGGAAGGGAATGGGATACACACATGAAACATACATCCCTTGATAGATCCAGGTCCCAGCTAGCATCCCTGCAAATAGTGGGGATATCGGATGTACAGAGCCCGAGACACCATCGTATAAAGTCTGGGGCTCGAGGCTCTGTACATCCCCTAAATCAGTTCCACAGCAACGGTTGGTTTGGTCCGGTGAATTCAAACATCGAGCCTGCACCCACAGCAACCAATCAGCGCTCCCTTGTCCAATCAGGAGAATGGCGCAAACCCAGTTTGAATGAGAGGGCTTTCTCCCAATGGTTTGCATTGACTTCCAGGTGGCCAGCAGGGACTCTGCGACTGTGAGACCGACTCACAGCTCCAGGAAATCCCTGCTGGCTCACATCTCTCGCTGGTGGATACCTCTACGCAGGTACCACGGGAGAGAGAGCTCTCTCTTGGGCAGCTACGAGCCTAGCCCTTGTAGCTTCCGGAAAGGGAAAGCAATGATTATAGCTCCATTGGGAACAGGTAGGGCAATCCAAACCACCAGTACCCCAACAGGGTCCCCACCAACCTCAGGGACCCATTCGTGGAGTCCTGGTGTGAAAACCCCACAACGGAATTGTATCCTTTCGGGATACGAATGCTCCCCCGGGGTAGCATTCGCTTATAAGAAATGGTGGCCACCCAGGGGAGCACTCATTAATTACTTCCCTTGCAGTTTCACACTTATGTTGTAGGTGCCATCGTTCTGATTGATTGGTGTGAGCATTCTAATGGGGTACCGGGGTGGCCCGCTTTCGAGAGGCGAACAGGCTCCGTTCGCATGAGTGCTCCCGAATGGTCAACAGGGAAAAATACACGAATTGCATGCAAATACATGGGGAAACGAGGGGCGGGGCTTGGACGCCATCCTGGAAGGTCGCAGGCAAGCTGAGCTCCTGCTTAAAATCGGAATAAAAGTGCCAAAAAACGGGTGAAAACCCAAAATGGACTCTACCTACCTGTACAATCTACACCTGCATCGTGGGAAAGATCTTGGGGTGGGTGACAACCCCTCCACTTTCGCAAAACAGCAGCTGCGGCCTCCATCCCTTTGCGGCCTGGCGCCGACCTGACGGGAGATGCGGCCGGTCTCTACGTCGGGGGCAACCCGGGCACTCAGCCCAGCGGCCAATCTGTGCCCCGTACTCCCCCCTCTGGGCCAGTGGGGGATATCCCGGCCCCCACCAGAAGACTACTTACCTCTGCAACGCATCCAGCCAACGAAAGTGAAGACGGCACACACGCGGCCTACTTTAAAATGGCCGACGGAGAACCTGCACAATCTACCCTACAACACAGCAACTGGGAAGAAGGTTTCAAGCTAAGATTTAATGAAATGTGCAAGCAGTACTGGAGAGGCTGGGAGGAACGGCGAAAGCCAACAACGAGATCTGCACCCGTGGAGCTACCTACGGACGGTGCTCCGGAGCCTCGGCGCCCCCGTCCTGCACCGAGAGCCAGGAAGGCTCTAGCACGCACCCGAGGTCCAAACGCAGTGAAACAGAGCAGCAGCATGAGACCCCGAAACCCTTTCCTGGGTACGGTGAGAGAAACACATGGACACGGGAAACGGGAGTCCTTCAACTACAAGGGCTGTGGAGGTGCTGCACAACACGGCAACATGGGGGACGAGAACTCCACGCTGCCCCTACTCGCATTAGGTCTGAGCACCACGGGAATAGGCTGAGAGAACTCTCTTTAACGGAACTAAACAGGCATCCAGACCAGGCACTCACCTCCCATTTTGTTGTTAGCCTACACTTAATACCAGGGTTTTCATTTCATAAATCTCTTCACTTACAGCCAAAATTGAGGTCTGCATATTAAGCTAAGATGCCAGTGTAGCTAGGTGGAATTATTTGTACTCTTAAAATCAGCGCTTTCACTTTATGTTTCAAACAGTTATTTTGCAAGCACTGACCTTATTTAGCATACATACTCTTCATAACAAGCGCAGATTATGCGAGTAAATTTAATTGTAATGCGTAACCAATAGTAAACTATGCTCCGTTTATGCATTTATATGAAAATTGTGCACTGCTCAAATGCCATAAATGTAACATCAATGTGATATATCTATGCTTACGAACGCTATTGTGGCAGAGTAAGCTGTCTTGTCTATCCATGCACTCAAAAATAAAGAAATAAAAAAAAAAAAAAATATATGGGGAAACACAGAATGCAAAGGGGATACCTGAAGAATAAACAGTGGGAACACAAGAAACAAGGGGCAAAATATATGAATACTCAGTGGGCATGGTACTTAGTGGCGGTGGCCCGCCACAGTTATCTTCCTAGCTATTTTGATATAGGTTACAGAAGAGGTTTTCTGACAGAACTGGACAGTTGTCAATTATACAGCTGTGTGCTACACATGCCACAAGATCAATTAATTCCTTATCAGCCACGACACACACAATTTATTATCAACAATTACTGACAATTAAATAGGCTAAAAGGAATTTATAGATTGATTTTAAGAATAATTTGTTAATGCACGATTGCAACATTTGTTAAAAGTGCTTTTCCATATACAATGTGAAACAAACATGATAGGTGTAGTGACAAATATTAATTCCCAAGTCTTTTATGTAAATAATTAATCATGCAACGCTCTATTGTGCTGCATTTAGATTTTTTAAATAGGAATTAAAAGGCAAACACACTCTTCTTAGATACCAATCCAGTGTGCATGTCCAGATCTGGGGCTGGCAAACCTCAATACATAAGTAGCAAACCAAATATAGATCTTTGTACTCAAAGGTAGTGAGTGGCAGTTTTAATGAAGATCAGGGCAGCAGAAACGTTTTGACCTTAAACTAGGTTTTTATCAAGCTTACACCACTGTGCAATAACACTATATATACACAGGACACACAATTAACCAAATTAATTACATTGATTGCAAACCACGTTTACTTAATTCCATCCACATGGTAAATATCGGTAACCGAAGGTCACGTCATGCTCATAAGCACAATGGTTCCAAATACCCATTACTCAGAGCGTTACTGCATCAGAAAACGTCAAGATGCTAAGGGTATATGTGTCCAAAGATGTGGACAGGCATAAATAATGGGGGTTTAGTTCCAGTATATGATCGTATATTGCGTAAGCCTTCCACAGCACCAATGTATGATTATATGCTGTAATTAAATCCCCATAATAAAGTGAGGCATTTAAAAAGCTCCAAAAACAATTAAATTCTGTGAGCTCTGAAGTTGGCGTTTAGTGAGTGAGTGAGATTTAGGGTAGCCATTTTTGGCAGGTCCTATCCTCGCAACCTAATGCCTCCTCTTATGAGATTAATCCACTTACATGGGGATTCCTTCTTCCTGGGACTCTCTGAAGGTTAAATGAGAGGGTGTGCATGTGTGTGTGTGTGCATGCTTGTTTGTATGTATGTGTGTTTACAATGTCAACTGAACTAGTTTGGCAGAGGCCGCCAATTAAGTATTTTGTTGAAGCCAATGCTTAAGTGGACATGTCTCTCTTAGTTCAATATTTTCTGATTAAATTGATGCTAATGAACATACTCTATCCTCTAAAATGATTGCTAAACTCGAAGAATTAAACCTAATTTTATTTCGGATGTTCCTAAATCCCTTCGGCAAACTCAACATTTTTTTCTTCTAAAAAAGCCAATACTCTCAATTAAACTTGTGCCTGTAAACAATTAAAGGCCACAATATTTTTTTAAAATTGTTTCATCCCATGGACTCTGCTTTGTTGATTAGTTAGTTAACACTACAGACAATCTTGTAAAAACGGGAGAAGTAGTTAACCTTACGATAGTCAAAAAGTCATTATTTGAAAATCTATAGAAACAGTCTCAAAGAGATCTCTCATTTTACTTACGAGGAAATAGTCACGGATATCAAAGACTACAGCAGATTAAATCCTTGTTCTAAAAATACAGAAAATCATTTGCTTCCAATTTAATAGAGGTGGTACCCAGCCTCAACCGCTTTACCATGACCTGTAGAATTGCCACAAGTCACAATAATTGTTGTTTGTAGGAATGGACAGAGTGTGGCATTTATAGACTCCAATTAAACATTACCTAAGACATTAAACTATTTTCTAAAACTCTTGAACATGTTTGTTTTTCTTATATCATATAGTGTGATCAAGTAGGATTTATATACAAGTGTGAAGTCCAAATCTTGCAAACAGTTTAATTAGACTGATTAAATATTTCTTTAACCTTGTGAACTCTTAATGAGGACTAATCCTATCAGCGTGTTAGTTAATCATACATGAGGAATCCTATATAACGCTTGTTTTATTTGTCTGTATTGTTATCTCGTGACCCTAGGAACCCTTCCGTCTGTGCGCTATGCATTAAACCACTTTCTATCTATTTGTGTTATAAGCCTTTAAACTGCTGTTTTTCACAAAATGCCTAAATAATTTAAGATTTTTCTTTTTGGATGATGGCTTATTAAAGGACCACTATAGTGCCAGGAAAACATACTCGTTTTCCTGGCACTATAGTGCCCTGAGGGTGCCCCCACCCTCAGGGTCCCCCTTCCGCCGGGCTCTGGGGAGAGGAAGGGGTTAAAATCTTACCTTTCTCCAGCGCTCTCCTCCTCCATAGCGACGTCATCGGCTGAATGAGCATTCGCGGCAGGAGCCGCGCACGCATTCAGCCAGTTCATAGGAAAGCATTTACAATGCTTTCCTATGGACGCTGGCGTCTTCTCACTGTGATTTTCACAGTGAGAAGCATGCAAGCGCCTCTAGCGGCTGTCAATGAGACAGCCGCTAGAGGAATTGGAGGAAGGATTAACCCTATTATAAACATAGCAGTTTCTCTGAAACTGCTATGTTTATTAAAAAAAGGGTTAACCCTAGCTGGACCAGGCACCCAGACCATTTCATTAAGCTGAAGTGGTCTGGGTGCCTATAGTGGTCCTTTAAAGGAACATGCATCACTTGACAATTAGTTTTTTAAACCAGGAAGCAAACACTTTTAAACAAATTTACAAAACTAAATAAAGCAAAACATTTTTTGAAAAGTATGTAATAAACTTTTACAAACTTACTGCAAACCTCGTCAGATTGCATTGTTGGGCACGTCTTTCAGCTAGGAGAGTTTCTTCACCCTCCCCCCACACTTACCCACTTTTTACAGTTTCCAACCAGTCCACTAATGACAGAAACAGGACGTCATTGTGCAGCAACAGGAGAGAGAAACCCGACACCAGAACCAGCTCTGCATGAATCGTACTGATCAGACTCCCTCTATTTCCCCCTGTCAGGATGTTACAAGGTGAAGAGATCTTCCAACTACACATATGTATATCTGTTAGGCATGCCTAATGTGCTTTCCAGCATTCCTAGGGATAACACACTGATTGGTAAGATCAGTGTCCTCCCAGGAGTAGGTGTGGAAAGCATAAGAAAGAAGACACAGGTATATATGAAAAAAAACCACATCATATTTACATGCTTACTTTTTTCAGCTTGCAGATTGAGGCAACTGTTTAATTCGGAGCTAAAGCTTTTTAATAAAACAGTTGTCTCAAAGGGATGCATGTCCCTTTAAGAATTTGTGTCCGCACTTAAATCCTTCTCTAACTTATATAATAACCTTCAACATTTCTCCTGGATCTCTACTTTAAAATTAATTCTAAATGGGAAGGCTTAGTAATATGAAGTTTGCACCTTTGTAGCTGTTATCAGTCTGTTATATTTTGATTGTTGAATTGCAAGACATCTCGCAACTTTGTTAATTACCTTTCACTTTTGAAAGATCATAAAATGGCATTTAACGATGTTTTAAATATTACATTTCTTTAACTATTACGTTTCTCTCTTACAAAGAAATGAAGAGAATGAAAATAAATTATTCCAAAATAAATTATTCCAAAATGTACATGTCTAATAATGATACTAATAAAAGTTCAAACTGTTTTAGAAAACCACAAAATCCTCAAATATTTATTGATTTACAACATTTAAATATTTTCTATTTTCTTGTGATAACTGTTAGAGCTCAATTTCTCCACGAGGTGGCGCATTTGCAAAAGATGGTTTGCCCTATTTGATTTTTTTTTGCTTTAAATATATATATATATATATATATATATATATATATGTATATATATATATGTATATATATTACACAAGATCCAGCACACTCACTTATCCACTAAACAGCAACTTCAATGTTGACAGATTTAATTTGTTTTTTTAAAAACAACTAATCTAGGCAAATATATATATATATATATATTTTAAATTCTTTATTTATAGAGTGCAAAGAAATAACATAGTGTTTAGTAAGCCACAACAGCCTTTGTACACAGGTTGATAACAAGTCAAATAAAACAGAGTTATGGCATTCGTATATACCGCACATTTTTTTGATTTAATGGAATGCTTAAATTACAGTCTAAATAGTAGTTGTCTGGAGCTACTGTTAAGGGAGAGTGGCTGAGCTTTGCATATACATAGGCTTGTTACTAATAATTGTAAAGTAATACGGTAAGTTCTGCTCTCGCGGGTCTCGCGAGACTTACACTGTAAGCAGAACGGAGCTGACCGGGGAGCTGCACGGAGGAGAAGGGAGCTGACAGGAGCTGCAGGAAGGTAAGTAACAGCTCGTTGTCAGCCCCCAACAGGACCGCCGGGCTTGTAATGAGCCTGGCAGTCCTGGTCTGTATTGTGGCAATGTAAATTGCCACAATACAGACTGACTTGAGTATAAGCCGAGTGGGGGGTTTTCAGCACAAAAAATGTGCTGAAAAACTCGGTTTATACTCGAGTATATACGGTAATGTCCCGATAGCCGAGAAGAGTATTTCCTGCTGAATAATCCAGAGGTAGTGGTGCTTGTGGACCCTGTGCCCTGGGGTGGCGAGCCTGCAGTGGTACACAAAGTCCATCTCGTGGTCCCAGCTGCTCGTCGCGCCTCATGGCCCTGTCGCAGGCTGCTGCGGCTCCGGGTTGGCCCCTCTTCCGCCGGTCTTCTTGTCGGGTCTCTTGCCCTGCCGGTTCAGCATTCGTTTCGGGCCAGCCTTCCCTGTCGGATCCCATGCCGTGTCTCTGCTTTTAAGGTAGGTTGCTTAGGTCAATGTTTCTTAGGTACCCGTGCAGCCTCAGGGAACTGCCCCGGTCTGCTGCTGCTCTTTGTGAGGCTCAGGGTATTAGGCTCCCCTTGCTGCTCTTTGCCGGTGACGGCTGCTCACGTGCGTGTAGTTGGGGTTGGCTATTGTTAGTCTCCGCTTGTCAGCTTGTTGTGAGCCCTGTTGTGGGTTAGATTCAGGAGCCTCCAAAAGGAGGCAAATATTTATTTCAGTCGGAGTTCCGTTTCGAGCCCCGCGCTGTCTGAGCCTGCAGTGTGAGGGGCATCCGCCATTTTGTGAGCTACATTAGTGGTAGGCTTGGGCTTCTGTGTCTTTGTCTCCTTCTCACTACTTTGCTGGGGAATCGTGTAGGGGCGGACCGGGATGACCCCCACCGGTCCATAGGGGAGAATGGGTGTTCTGTGTCACGTTTCTAGCCAGTCTTGGTGATGAGAGAGCGGCCGTCCCTCCTGTGCCCGCCATGCTGGTAGGCCTCATCTGTGTGTCAGGTGCGTACCGGAGCGATTGTTCGGTATCGTCGTGTCTGTCTCGGTTTCCTCTGTCACTTGGTGGCCTTTAATCAGCTTATTAGTGCCGTTTTTGTAGCCTTATTCTCGAATTTCGAGCGCTGTTTGGCAGGAGCTGCTGAGGTTTGCTTCCTCTCAGTCCTGCGGGCAGGCCCTGCCCCTATATATATATATATATATATAAATGAAACCAAGAGGGCTGCACTCACCTGAACATGCATACATTATAGGGTGCTGATGGGGCAAAAATATATAAAATACACAATCCATCGCACTTACTTATTCACTAAACAATTATTTCAAATCTTAGAGATTGTATAGTTTTATTTAAAAACACCTCACCTAGGCAAATAATAATGGGGGTTTAGTTACGTTATATGATCATATATTGCATAAGCCTTCCACAACGTCAATGTACCCCATTTTTGGCAGGTCCTACTCTAACAGCCTAATGCCTGCTCTTATGAGATCAATCCAATTGACATTGTGGAAGGCTTATGCAATATATGATCATATAATGTAACTAAACCCCCCATTATTTTTTGCCTAGGTGAGGTGTTTTTA